CATGAACGAAAGAACGTAATCCTAGCGGTAGTCGAGTAATGATCAAGTGGGCGAGGAGGTGGAGTCATGCAATGTATGTGTATGTATGTAATACACACACACACACACACCCCTGGTCAAAAGTTTTGAGAATTACACCAATATTACTTTTCACAAAGTGTGCTGCCTCTGTTTTTATGATGGGGCAATTTGCATATACTCCAGAATGTTGTGAAGAGTGATCCGATGAACTGAATTAATTGCAAAGTCCCTCTTTGCCAGGAAATTGAACTTAATCCCAGAAAAAGAAAACATTTCCACTGCATTTCAGCCCTGCCACAAAAGGACCAGCTGACATCATCTTGGTGATTCTCTTAACACAGGTGTCAGTGTTGATGAGGACAAAGCTTGTCTTGGAAATTCGCTTTAACGAATTTCTCCTTACCGTGAGTACTCGCAGTTGGATGCGCAGAAATCCCCCATAAAGCTGTGCGAATCTCGCTTACCACGACTGCAGCTAAACTACACGATTCCTGCCCATCCAAATACTTTGGTTCTGTTGAAATGTAGGTGATTGGAGCTCCGTTACCCTAGAATGATCACACGACACTCTAAGGCTGGTTGCAATCCACATAAGGGCTGATTTTAGACCCAGCTCTCTGTTTTATTAAAAATACACACATGCCCCCCACATGAATAACGTCAATCCCCTCCCACCGAACAATGCAATGGGGATTGCCTATACAGAGGATGTACATTCCAATTGGAGCATAGCCTTTGCTATTATCTATCACTGGTCCTCCTACATGAGTCTTCTGAGGTCAGCAGACTTCCTCCCCTTCCCCCCTATGAGCCATCTGAGGTCATATTTCCTGTCCTACTAGCTTCTATTGGTATGCAAAATTCTCTGCACAAGCACTCCCTAAAAATATCAGTCTGTACCTGGATGGGCCCGATACGATCTTTATTAAAACACATCCATCCGAGATACAGTTCAGATTAGTAATGGGTTGTAAGATATGCATAAGCCTACACACGGAGTTCACACCGCTTGCGCATTGCGTTATGAAGCCCATGTGGTACCATGCTGCTGATATGTGGATACAGGCCCACGGTCTACTGACAGCAGCATTCGCATGGAATGCCGTGGTGGTATACACGCCGGTCTATAAGCGCAGATCTGCCATCTCATCCATTACCAAGCTGAGTACTGTAATACATACATTGTACATGCGCATGGCCCAATTGCAGCCTTCAGAGCTTTAATTAAGCCACACGAGAGACATATGAATAACACGAATATATGACACATTTAAAGTTCGACCAACAATACAAAATTTCCATGACAAGCTGGAGATCATTCTATCATGCTGACTGAGTTAGAATAATGGACTGGAAGCTTTAAAAGGAGGGTACTGCTTGAAATCATTGTTCTCCCTCTGTTCACCATGGTTACCTGCAAGGAAACACACATGCAGTCATCGTTGCTTTGCACAAAAAAGGATTCACAGGCAAGGGTAATGCTGCTACTAAGATTGCACCTAAATCTACCATTTATCAGATCATCAAGAACTTCAAGGAGAGAGGTTCAATTGTTGCGAAGAAGGCTTTAGAGCACCCAAGAAAGTCCAGCAAGCGCCAGGACCTTCTCCTAAAATTGATTCGGCTTCGGGATCAGGACACCACCAGTGCAGAGCTTGCTCAGCAATGGCAGCTGGCAGGTGTGAGTGCATCTGCATGCACAGTGAAGCAAAGACTTTTGGAGGATGGCCTGGTGTCTAGAAGGGCAGCAAAGAAGCGACTTTTCTCCAGGAAAAACATCAAGGACAGACCGATATTTTGCAAAAGGTACAAGGATTGGACTGCTGAGGACTGGGGTAAAGTCATTTTTCTCGGATGAATCCCCTTTCTGATTGTTTGGGCATCCAGAAGAAACTTTGTCCGGAAAAAAAAGTGGAGCGCAACCATCAGTCCCCCCCCCCCCCCCCCCCCCCCAGTCCTGTGTCATGCCAACAGTAAAGCATTATAAAGAACACAGCCATGAATAAAGAATGGTATATAAACAACCTCTGAGCAACTTCTCCCAACCATCCAAGAATAGTTTGGTGATGTACAATGCCTTTTCCAGCATGATGGAGCACCTTGCCATAAGGCAAAAGTGATAACTAAGTGGCTTGGGGAACAAAAACATCGAAATTTCCGCCCATGGCCAGGAAACTCCCAAGACCTTAATCCCATTGAGAACTTGTGGTCAATCCTCAAGACACAGTTGAACCAAGAAAACCCCACAAATTCTGACAAACTCAAAGCATTGATTATGTAAGAATAGGCTGCTATCTCCTAGATTGTAAACTGTAACGAGCAGGGCCCTCTGTTTCCTCTTGTACCAAATTGTATTATAACTGTAGTGTTTACCTTCATTTTGTAAAGCGCTGTGCAAACTGTTGGCGCTATATAAATCCTGTATAATATACCGTATTTTTCGCTCCATAAGACGCACCTGACCATAAGACGCACCTAGGTTTTAGAGGCAGAAAACAGGAAAAAAAAATTCTGAACTAATGGACTGTAGACATAGTACAGGGATGACCAGAGACTGCGGACACAGTACAGGAGATGACAAGAGACTGCGGACACAGTACAGGGATGACCAGAGACTGCGGACACAGTACAGGGATGACCAGAGACTGCGGACACAGTACAGGGATGACCAGAGACTGCGGACACAGTACAGGGATGACCAGAGACTGCGGACACAGTACAGGGATGACCAGAGACTGCGGACACAGTACAGGGATGACCAGAGACTGCGGACACAGTACAGGGGTGACCAGAGACTGCGGACACAGTACAGGGGTGACCAGAGACTGCGGACACAGCACAGGGATGACCAGAGACTGCGGACAGCACAGGGATGACCAGAGACTGTGGATAGTACAGGGGAGGACTGCTGACCTTTGGGGAGGGGGGGGGAGCGGGTACCTGAATTTGACAGGTACCCGCTCCCACTTCCGCGGAGTTGTTCTTTCATCTTACCTGTTCCTCTATCCAGCCGCGCGCTGTCTTCCCGGCTTCTGTAATGGTGCTCGGCATGACAGCCGGGTGCCCAGTGCGCATGAGCGAGAAGCACTTGCGCTTTGTGATTGGTCCGGCGGCTTCTGGGATCTGTCATGTGTCCCAGGTGCCGCCTTACCATTCACAAAAAGCACCGCTTCCTGCGCATACGCACTTGGCACCCGGCTGTCATGCCCACACTGCAGAAGCCGGGAAGACCGCGCCGCTGGATAGAGGAACGGGTAAGATGAAAGAACAACTCCACGGAAGTGGGAGCGGGTATCTGTCAAATTCAGGTACCCGCCCCCCCCCTCCCCAAAGGTCAGCAGTCATCTCTATAAGGTCCCGCTGTAGAGCTGAGCGGCCGGCCCGGTATTCTGACACGGCGGTAGTGGAAATACCGGACCGGCCGCTCCATATTCGCTCCATAAGACGCACTGACATTTTCCCCCCTTTTTTTGGGGGAAAAAAGTGCGTCTTATGGTGCGAAAAATACGGTAATTATTATTATCAGTCAAGATGTAGCCAAGACGTTTGACAGCATGCCAAGGCGGATTGCAGAGGTCTTGAAAAAGAAGGGTCAACACTGCAAATAATGACTCTGCATAAACTTAATGTAATTATCAATAAAAGCCATTGACACTTATGAAATGCTTGTAATTATACTTCAGTATACCACAGTAACATCTGTCAAAAAGATCTAAAAACACTGAAGCACTGTGAAAATTAATATTTGTGTCATTCTCAAAATTTTGGCCAGGGGTGTGTATGTGATATTTATTTATGCACTGCGATTGCTTAGCCTTGATGGCTGTATAAGCAAACATTTCTGACAGTTCTCGGCTGCATTCATGCAGCCACTGAGAACAACTGAACTCTATGATTTGGCTACAGCTGTCACATGGTACAGGGAGGCGGTGCTTGTCCCTTTGCCATGTGATCACTGTGACCAATCACAGAGATAACAGTAGTTCTCACTGGCTGTATAAAACACACATGAATGATGTGTGAATGGCATCCATGTTTACAACAGGGCTTGTGATTGGTCAGAGTGATCACACGATACCAGGGCAGAGCGCCGTTGTTCTGTATTTGGATTGGTGACACAGCGGTCACAGGATTGCGCCATGCACCAGGTATGTCCCCCCCAGATCGACGCTTGTTCTGCTCTGTCCTTTATATACAGTGGCCAGGCTGGAAGTGGTTAAGGTTTGTATACTTTGTGGGGCCAAAATTACACTACAACTGCACCGGAGTAGCACAAGAACCTATTCCAAAATCGAGCTGTGCTGAATCACATTGATGTAAACAGACACCATTGAAAATATGTGATTTCTTGTCATGCCAATATCTGCTTTTAAAGTTGCATTTTAAATCGCACTTGTGTGAAGCAGGCCTAAGTCTTGAGTTCACAGTACAGCGGTAGTTGTATAGTTCATTTGTAATGGGTACCCTTTCTAAATTTCAAATATGATATCAAGCATTCCTAATAGATAAATCCAGACTACACTTGGAAATATCTTCTCCTTTACGTTCTTTTAGTGATTTTATGAAAATCTGTTTGTCACATTCAATTAGGGATTATGCTGTTTTGCAGAAAACTTTTACATTTATTATATGAGGTAGCTGAAAATAAACTGAGTATATACAGGTGAAGGTAGGAAGGTTATAGTGATCCTATGTTCAATATGTAGTCATTTTGGCATTGTCCAAAATTGTCCCTTTATTATTGGCCACAATGTACTGAAACATCCGTGAAGGAAGCAGCCTTGTTGAAGGACATAGACAACAGAGCAGGAAAAAAGTTCAGCAGATACAGGAAACCTGGCATAGGCAAGTCCTATGGCTCTTGTGAATGATGCTATTATGTGCATAGGTTTATGAGTCATCTTCCGTTTCAGCCAGTCTTTCACCACCTTTATTGTCTATGTAAAGCATTGTTTCTTCTATTCGGTCTTCATTCACAGCTCACAAGTGGATGTATGGAGGTTTGGAGAAATAATATTTTTCTGCAATACTTGGCTTGGGTTACATATCCTGTCGTCCTCATCACTTTCTCTGCAGGATTCACACAGATCATGGCGCCTCAGGCTGTGGGTATGTGCAATACTTAATTTGTGTTGAGTTATTAACTGTTGTATGAGACTTTTATGAAGATGTTTGAACTGAACGGCCTGAGAAATAGTAGTACAATTAATATTTCCTTCAAAACTTGAAAGTATAGGGTACTTGTTGGATAGCTATTTAGCAACCCCATTGACTTGCACCTTGTGGCAATAAAGAAATCCTACTGTTTAGCAGGGTAATTCATATCTCTTCGGTTTGTCCCAGTTTATTCACTTTAAAAAGTAAAACATTTTGTGAAATGTACTTGTTGTCGTCATTTTGCAGCATTTACTTTTCTCCTAGGACCAATAAAATAAAGATAATGTTTTTATACAATATAATATTTGTAAAAGTTGTACATACAACTCTATAAATATTAAGGCTCCATTCACACTTGTGCAACTCCAAAGTTGCACGAATTCTAGTGCAACTTTGGAGTGACACTCTCTAGCACTCAAACCTTTTCAAAGTCTCTGCAACTTAGTTGTATAGATATAGGTGTCATTGAAAACAATGGGTGCGACTTTGTGTCCAAAATCTCATGACAAGTCACACAAGTGTGAATGGAGCCTAAGGTCACCTGTAAGGCTAGGTTCACACCTATGTAGTTTGTGATTGACCTGTTTCTGCAGTGCGCTTTACGTTTTGACACATCTGCTTTTCGCTGCGTTTTTTTTTTTTTTTCTTTTTTAATTTTTTTTTTTTTTTTTTTTCTTGTTGCTAGGCAGATTAAAATGCAGAAAAAAACACACTACATGCTTTTCTCTTTTCTTCAGTGTTTCCATTGAAGTCTATAGAGCCAAACATGCAAACTTACGCATTTAGAAAAATCCCTGACCATTTCCAAAAAACACACCGGGTGAAAACGCGGAGATGTGAATGTGTACCATAGGAAATCATGTTAAATGGACTGTAGTGCGTTTTTGCAAAACGCTGTGGAAACCGCTTAGGTGTGAACCTAGGGTAAGAGTCATTGCTGCAAGGAACCTTACAGGAGGATTCCTGTAGGATTCTTCTGTGGTAGGAACTCCAGGACCCTTTTGCTGCCCTTCTTTCTTTAGAGTTTCATGGCTAATTAAATTAAACGTGCTAGAAAAATACATAGCCTTTTATTGCTGAGCTCTTTGAAACTTGTAGTTGCCTGGCTTTCATTGTGATTGAATGATAAATGTTTGAGCCATTTAGGTCTGGCCTGTGTAGACCAGCTTTTTTCTTGCTTAGACCAACTTTTTAATTTCCGTGGAAGTCCATGTTAATGAATTTTGAATGATCTCAGAAGTATTTAAATGAATGGCATTGACACAGACCCTTACCTAGAACAAGTGTGCAGAAAAGGAGTTTTTATGTACTTCATGTACATGTACTTTTGTTTGTTATGGTTTCGTGAGTCAGAATGTATTGAAGCTATTGCAATAGTATGGCAGTGTCAACACATTACAAGGAGAACTCTGTATTTTTCTCAGAACAGATTTACTTTAACAGTTGTGCCTTTTTTTTTTTTTTTTTTTTTTTTTTTTTTTTTTTTTCTTTAGGGGTTGCTACAGGTATCCAGCTTAGCCAGAGAACAGTGTTGAACTTAGTATGTCTTTTAATAGCTTTAAGCTATTAAGCAGCGTGGCTAATGTCTTTCTTTTTACATTATTATATGCATGCATTATATGAATAGATCAGTCCTGGAGTATGCATGGTTGCAATGAGCCTACATGTTCAAATATACATACTGTACTGTCCCAACACTTTTTTGCCCTGGCTGCATTTGACTCTTGTGTGTCAATTCCAGGTACAAAGTGCACACGTGTCATTCATTTTCTTACTGAAATCAAGGTCAGCATCCAACCCTTGGACAGGTTGTGCCACTATCATCATAGTGTAGATACCACTGCTGAAAAGTTGCAACACTGGTCCTCACATATGTCTACAACAAACATCAGTGTAGCTCTCATCACTCCTAATAACATGGACTTTCACCCCCTTTTGGGTGGTTTGAAATGAACACTTGAAAGTTTTGTAAACTTTCAATAATATAATAGTCAATGTTGTATTCTCCCTGTGAAAGGCAATATAAACTGACATTTCACACATATTACAAGCATTATATATTCCTGACTTTCGCCCAAACACTGAGACATTCGCAAAGTGAATGCATAAACTCTCTGCTTAATCTGACAATTGCTTGTTAAATTCAAACATGTGTTTTGCTCTTTTACTTTACACCACCCTCACCCTTTAGGAATAAATTGTTGAATTAATTTTCTTATGAGGATGATTTTTATTAACTGTCTCAAAAATGCAAATGCAGCTGTTAAAGATACAACAAAGGGATGCTAAGCGAGCGCTACCTTTAGATTTAGAGAGTAAAGATCAAGCTTCTGGAACACCAAAAAGGTAACCACAAGAAAACCTCCAGTACAATATATATCAAAGTGAATAGGTGCAGCGCTAGATAATGATGAATATATATGGTATATACTGTATTATACAATTTTAGCAAGTGCAAAATAGATAATATCACCTAATGGTGATTATTAGTGACTAGATAGTTCAAGGTGATAAAATCGTGTGGATCCTGAGGGATCCCAATTCCAGGTGTGCGGGTGTCCTGATCCGGGAGTGATAGATGATGTGATTCAAATGAATGAAATACGCACTCACCAGAAGTGCGTTTAAAATACGCAATATGAAATCCTGCATCATCAAGTAGTAAATAGGTCATCCGTTCCCAGGTCAGGTCACACCATGAATCGCCATCCAGGCTCATCAGCATAAAGGTTCCCTGGTTCGTTAGCATGTATCACCATCTGGGGTCATCTCTTTTCTGTATGGGCGCTGCGAATGACGGCACTCACTCGGAGAGCCCAATGAGAGACCACATAGCATGATGCTGTATAAGGTACCTTTATTCTAGATAGTGGGTACAATCAATAATATAGCAATAAAAAGGTACTGGAATATAAACAGAGATCCTCCTGCGCAAAAGGGAAATACACCTACTATAAGCTGCCAGCACTTAACCTGCTACCCAAACAGTGTATTAAAAATATATATATATATAGTGCAGCGCTCAAACCTAACTCAAGTACTACAATAACTGTGCTCACATGCAATAGTGACACAAAATTAATCAAACTCAAATCATTAAGTTAAATATCCTTATTTATAAGTGCCACTCTATATTAATCCCTATCCCTTCGTGCCCACATAATCAAATAGATATATATAAAAATAAACAAGTTCTCCTTTAAAAAATGATTTATTTTCACAGTGCTCCAAGTGTAGTGACGTGACCACACTTTATATATTAATCATAAAAGTCCAAAGAAAATGTCCATAAATACTAATGGTAAATACATGCAATGTGCAAAACAATTGTGCAAAACAAATGTGTTCTTGTTCCACAGCAGTGCCACTCTTCCCCTCCTAAGGCTAGATTGCCTCCTCACCTCCTTACACTGACCCCTAAGGGCCAAACAGCTTTCAGGATCAATCTGGATCCTTATCCCCTGGAGATCAGCACTTCTCCTGCCGTCGTGGATCACTTTAGGGTACTTCCATTACCCCCACTCAGAAGCCTCTAGAGAATAATTGCTCACCACCCAGTGAGCAGGAAAGAAGAATCCTCTAAGTGCAGTATTTAGAGCCAATAAAACACTTTAATGGTACTGTTCACAAACATATAGCCACTCACATATGTCCATATTCTTCCTTAGCCAGTATGTGGGTGTGCTGCATGTAATCAGAAGGACTGATGGCTATTTAAGGGAGGATAGACGTGCCTAGGGTAATGCCCAGAGGAAGTCACGAGTGACAGTGACGTAACGCGTAGGCACGTTAGCACGCCAACTTCCGGTACGCGGTGACGCTCTTCTGGCACCAGCCGCCATCTTGGTATACCCAGGAAGTCCTTCTGATTACATGCAGCACACCCACATACTGGCTAAGGAAGAATATGGACATATGTGAGTGGCTATATGTTTGTGAACAGTACCATTAAAGTGTTTTATTGGCTCTAAATACTGCACTTAGAGGATTCTTCTTTCCTGCTCACTGGGTGGTGAGCAATTATTCTCTAGAGGCTTCTGAGTGGGGGTAATGGAAGTACCCTAAAGTGATCCACAACGGCAGGAGAAGTGCTGATCTCCAGGGGATAAGGATCCAGATTGATCCTGAAAGCTGTTTGGCCCTTAGGGGTCAGTGTAAGGAGGTGAGGAGGCAATCTAGCCTTAGGAGGGGAAGAGTGGCACTGCTGTGGAACAAGAACACATTTGTTTTGCACAATTTTTTTGCACATTGCATGTATTTACCATTAGTATTTATGGACATTTTCTTTGGACTTTTATGATTAATATATAAAGTGTGGTCACGTCACTACACTTGGAGCACTGTGAAAATAATTATCATTTTTTAAATGAGAACTTGTTTATTTTTTATATATATCTGTTTGATTATGTGGGCACGAAGGGATAGGGATTGATATAGAGTGGCACTTATAAATAAGGATATTTCACTTAATGATTTGAGTTTGATTAATTTTGTGTCACTATTGCATGTGAGCACAGTTATTGTAGTACTTGAGTTAGGTTTGAGCGCTGCACTATATATATATATATATATATATATATATATATATATATATATATATATATATATATTTATTATTTTTTTTTTTAATAAAAAGGTACTGACCATGTATTCAGGATGGCCACCAGCGGTGGTCAGATGTCCGGTTGCTGTAGCCCTTCTGACGCGTTTCGTGCAAAGCACATAGTCATAGGGAGAAAGGGCTTAATTTTTGTAAGCCCTTTCTCCCTATGACTATGTGCTTTGCACGAAACGTGTCAGCGGGCTACAGCAACCGGACATCTGACCACCGCTGGTGGCCATCCTGAATACATGGTCAGTACCTTTTTATTGCTATATTATTGATTGTACCCACTATCTGGAATAAAGGTACCTTATACAGTATCACGCTATGTGGTCTCTCATTGGGCTCTCCGAGTGAGTGCCGTCATTCGCAGCGCCCATACAGAAAATAGATGACCCCAGATGGTGATACATGCTAACGGACCAGGGAACCTTTATGCTGATGAGCCTGGATGGTGATTCATGGTGTGACCTGACCTGGGAACGGGATGACCTATTTACTGCTTGATGACGCAGGATTTCATATTGCGTATTTTAAACGCACTTCTGGTGAGTGCGTATTTCATTCATTTGAATCACATCTATCACTCCCGGATCAGGACACCTGCACACCTGGAATTGGGATCCCTCAGGATCCACACGATTTTATCACCTTGAACGATCTAGTCACTAATAATCACCATTAGGTGATATTATCTATTTTGCACTTGCTAAAATCGTATAATACAGTATATACCGAATATATTCATCGTTATCTAGCGCTGCACCTATTCACTTTGATATAAGCTGTTAAAGATAGTTTTTCATTATGCTAGAACAACGAAATATGCATGTTTTCATAAATAGGCTTTTAGTCATCCTTGAAATAGAAGTACAGTAGCTGTTCCAATGATTTTGCCCTGTTACACCTGTCATCTGTTCTAATAGAAATCTTTCAGCTATACCCATGCTAGCCTGTTTGTCTGCTTTCTTTTGGTAATCCCTAAAATTGTAACAGTTCAGTGAACCTGAATCCTTTTAACAAATATGGTGCTAGGGGCAGGTGTCACCAGAGTGCTTCATAGCTTATTGCAATCACTGCTACCATTTTGTGTCACAAATTGTTACATGCCTTTTTCCTTCAGTAGACACTTGCTCATTATCACCTTGTTATATCTTTTCTAGGTTCTGGTATTCCGGAGATGAAAACCATCTTGCGTGGTGTGGTGCTAAAAGAATATCTTACCCTTAAAACATTTATTGCCAAAGTCATTGGACTAACTTGTGCCCTTGGTAGTGGAATGCCACTGGAAAAAAGAAGTGAGTGTGGTGCTTTTAAGGTGTTTTTAAGCATTCAACAACTTCTGGTTTATTTGGTTTGTGCCATACTTATCGTAAAGGTGTATCCTGCTGACTTCTAATTAGAAACCCAGATGAGTCCCCCACATATGCTCTGTTGGCATCATTTATAATGCTGCTAGAAGTAAAATGTGAGTGTTCCAGCAAAGGGTGAATGTGGAAGGCATTATAGATGTACTGGATTCGTTTCAGAGTTATCCAAAAGAAAGGATGGGTTACAAGAAGTATACTGTAATTATAAAGCAGCCCATAGATTATTTGTTTGGAAGGAAAGAAAATCACTTAATTCCTCCAACACAGTGTTGATGGGGGAATGCCCTCCGCAGCATTATTGTGTTCTGCTGACGGGGAGGGGGGATGCTCGGGGTGTCTTCCCGGTGGGCAGAACAAAATGGCTGCTGCTCGTGGCTATAGCTGCTGGCAGCAATCGAATGTAAAAAAAAATCTGACCGGCTGGTTGTATCCAAGTCGATCGATGGATCAGCCTGCCCATACATGGATCAAATCCCAGCCAGTTCCTGGTTAACTGGCCGAATTTTGATCCATGTATGGCTGGCTTAAGGAGAAAACTCAGATAAGAAACATGACCTTAGTTTACTAGAAACATTACTAGTTACCTATGGCAATAATAGTAATTGTGATACCAGGGAAATATCCGACATATAATATTAGGAAAGTTTTATTTTAGGACCTGTAACAGGTTGTTAACCTTTTACTTGTAGTGAGATGCTGGAAAAGCAAGACTCATGGGGGCAGAATGATCTGCCAAAGGGAAAAATACTAAAAGAGGATCTTCACCTCTGGGGCTAAATCTACTCCTAACCCTCTTATTTTGATTGCTGGGTTGAGCACAAATAACATATCACCTCCATCCAGCTAATACAGAATTGTCCTACACCAATCCACTGAAAGCTGCAGCACTCCAGCTCCCATGCCATGCCGCCATCTTCTTTGCAGAATTCTTCATCAGGGAACCGGCTGTCTCTTCCACCTTCTAGCAGCTTGCCCCTGATGACGCTTCACTGCAAATACCCAGGGTATTCTACATAGCCTCAAACCCTCCTGATAGGTGTGGCATATCACTGGATGTTATGCATGAGGTTTGGGGGAGCGGGGTTGGGGAGAGCAGTTACTGCATTCTTTTCTTGGTTGATAAAAGCAGAAGCACAGAGTGTGTTCCAATAAGAAAGTGGTAGAGCTTACTACCGCTTTAAAGCCCGGGAATTACAAAAAATACTATCCCTGCAGTGGGGCTCCCTCACTTTGCAAGGGTTAAATACTCATGAACTCTAGGGGTTGAGAAAAAAGGTGTATTACTTATCATTCCTCTGCTCCGTCTTTTGAACCATCCATTTCTGTCCATACGTACTATGTAGGGCTATCGGCCTTGCGTTGTAGTCGATGGCATCATTTGTGTGACCACTGGCTGGAGCACTTCAAAGACAAGATGCCTCTGGGGACCAGTCACACACATTGAAAAAGCTTGCTGGAGTAAGGTAAGTATTCTACATTTTTTCTTCATCCTCTAATGGTAATGGGAAATTACCCTTGCAATGCTTGGGGGGGGGGGGGGGGGGGGGGGGATTGCTGGGTATGGTACTGCAAGGGTAGATATTTTTTTTAATTCTTTGATTTGGGTGTTAAAACATTCATATATTTTACTGTTTTTAAGCTGAGGTTCAGCATTTCCATGACCATGACTTTTTCAACGTTTACTCTGGACAAACCCTTCAAATAATTTTAAGGTCACAGGGATTCCTGCATAAACATTCCACCTTATTATTCTGTTTGACAACTCTGAGCATGGCCATCTTTTGTTTATATATAATACGGTAACATTTTTTTTTAAAAGTAATCTTTACATTATAAAGGCTCACGGCATACGTTTTAAAGCATCAGCTGTTATTAAACTGAATATAATTGAGAAATTATTGTGTGCCATATTCCGTCATATCATTAAATGAAAGACCGTAATTGAGCCTTGGCATATGGCGTGAGAACTTGTAATAAGTCCTGTGCTTTGTCTAAGTCTGCATGCCATGACCTAATTGTAAGCAAACGAAGGAAATGCAATTTGTCATTTGAGGCTGTACATGGGATTTAAAGGATACATATACTTTTAACAGAACACCCAAAATCTGCACCTCCCCTTCCCTCATCAGTTTTCTAAATATATATGTTGAAGTATGGTCTTGTGTTAGACATGGAATAGATACAAATTATACTTTCTCAAGATGACAAAACTGAGTGAAGGTAATAGTTTTGATGGCTAACTGCTGTGTCAAACATAGCAAAATGTAACCACTTAAGCTTTGGAAGGTTTTACCCCATTTATGACCATGCACTGCGCTAGTTTAACTGCCAATTGCACACTCCTGCAACACTGTACCCAAATGTTTTTTTGTTTTTTTTTCCTTTCCACACAAATAGCGCTTTCTTTTTGTGGTATTTGATGAGTTCTCTATCTTAATTTTTTTTATATAAACGAAGACCAAACATTTTGGAAAAAACACCCAATATTTTCTACTTTGTTATAAAACATATCAAAGAAAATAAATCAAAACATTTTTTTTCCCCATAAATTCAGGCCAAAATGTATTCTACTACATTTGGTAAAACAAGAAAATCCTAACAAGTGTATATTGGTTTGTGTGAAAGTTATAACATCTACAAATTATGGTATATATCCTGGAATTTATGCAGCTATGATGCTATACTGGCAATGGCGGTGATCAGTGACTTGTAGTGGGACTGTGATAGTGTGGCGGACAAACTGGCGCTAGCTGACACTGGCTGAGAGTTACACTGACTGACACTGACATCAATAGTGACACTAATCGGTGATCAGTGCTAATACTGTACACTGTCACTGTACTAATGACACTGGCTGGGAAGTGGGTTACCATCTAGGGGCATTTAAGAGGTTAATTGTGTTCTTAACAGTGTGTAATGTGTGTAATATGTGCTGCTTTTACTTTAATGTATGACTGTTTATTCTCTTTGCTTTGCAGGGAGAATAAACAGCCAGATCACTGTTCCCTGTTTTGTAAACACAGAACTGTGTGAGATTGGACACTGCCGATCATCTGATTTAAGCCGTTATTCATTGGCTGAAATCAGCTGCCAAGCTTGTGCTGTGCCCAATCACAGCATGGGCCTCCCAAACCCGGAAGTTTGGCCACAACATACCAGTACGTTGCTCAGCCTGCTTGTGCTGTAAATGTACTGTGGGTGGGTGGCAAGTGGTTAAAGGCACAGGTCTCTTCGAATAGTCCCTTTTTTTTTTTTTTTTTTTTAATTCTTTATTTAGAAGGTTTGCATCCAAAAATTACAGTTTGAACATAAGTGGTATGTTGGTACATCTGGTGCGGCAAACATAAATGTAATGCATACAGTGAAACGTATGTAAGAAATTGTTTGATCAGAGGTTGTGTTTCTCGAAGGCAGATAGTGCTAAAATAAAACAATTCCATATAACTGGGAGAATTTTGCAACTTTGTGGTAAGAAATATTTAGAAACAAGGTGGGTGCTGCCTGTCTGCTATACTGTCAGTGAAGGAGCTCTCCAAAAACATTTTTTGGTAATTTTCCTAGGGCAGAAATTGGGAAAGGAGTAAAAGGGAGATGTGTAAAGAGGAACAAGGGATGGGAAGGGGAGAGAGAGAAACAAAAAAAAAAGGGGGGGGGGGAGCAAGGGGAGTCACAGAGGGAGGCGACCGGGGGTATGGTTCATGAGCTTGCAGATTGCAGAATTTGTAAGTATTCCAATTTAATGTGTGTATTCATTAGATTAATGGAAGGAAAGTTCCTTTTATTGAAATATTGTACCTTGAAAGCTTGCCATGATTTCCATTAAGTTAGCAATTGAACTCGAACTTGGCCATCTTCCCAGTGCCTTGGTAAATAATGGGCATTGCCAGCTCAGCAGTAAGGATGCTGTTTGAGAAGGCCAAGTTTCCTAATAGTCATTGCCCTGGTCATGACGACTGTTTGGGCGAAATGCGTTGGGCGGATGTTTAGTGGAGACGTCATCACACCTGCTGGGGAGCGCGATGCTATTTATACGATATGCCTGGATTCTTTTCTCTCAATTGTAAGTAGATGTCTTATTTAAAAATGTTTTTTTACTGCTATACGTTGAGCGATCCCCTTCCTTTTGCATGGTATATTTGAATCAACTTTGCTGGGAGCTGGATGATTTATTCTTTGGTGTAAAGTTGCGTTTGGAGCATCACTAGAGTATGATACCTGTAGCCATTTGGTATGCTGACTGACAGTCCATTATTTGAAGCTGAGCGGTGACCTATTCATCCATCCATTCATCCAATGAGGGTTCTTTCCCTTAAGCGGATTTAGACCTTCTGTATATGGGTTTAAACCTTTGGTAAGAGGCTTTAATATTCCGCTTGGTGGAGTGCTCAGTGGTGAAGAGTGGAGGCACAGGATTGCTGCTAGATGCACAAGGAGAGACATTGACACAATTCTAACTTTTTTGGCTATATACACCACCACAATGGATTTGAAATGAAACAAACAAGATGTGCTTTAACTGCAGACTGTCAGCTTTAATTTGAGGGTATTTACATCCAAATCAGGTGAACGGTGTAGGAATTACAACAGTTTGCATATGTGCCTCCCACTTGTTAAGGGACCAAAAGTAATGGGACAGAATAATAATCATAAATCAAACTTTCACTTTTTAATACTTGGTTGCAAATCCTTTGCAGTCAATTACAGCCTGAAGTCTGGAATGCATAGACATCACCAGACGCTGGGTTTCATCCCTGGTGATGCTCTGCCAGGCCTCTACTGCAACTGTCTTCAGTTCCTTCTTGTTCTTGGGGCATTTTCCCTCCAGTTTTGTCTTCAGCAAGTGAAATGCATGCTCAATCGGATTCAGGTCAGGTGATTGACTTGGCCATTGCATAACATTCCACTTCTTTCCCTTAAAAAACTCTTTG